ATACAGTTTCTGGGAAATGACCTAACACATAACGTACCTATTTGGTCTAGATCAACCATTGTGTCTTTCACTGAAAATACTTTTGGAGCTGAAAATGAGAGAAAGATGAGTTATCACAGAGCTCCCAAAGTGATAGAATTTACGGTCAAGTGCATTAGAATTTGCAGTCTGTGTGAACTTTTAGAAATTTCCTTACAAAAAATTTTTTCTCAATAGAGATGAGAATCCTTCTCTTTCTTCAGTGGTAGAATAGAGACTTTATGAGAATGTTGATAAATTTGAAGGTGAGGCTGTTTTCAACATCCTACCAGAGTTCTATGCATTTTGTGGGAGGCTGCTGATGACAGAAATGCTTGTTTTAATTTGGTTGCTTCTGTTAAGCAGGTGTCCTTGTTTTCAGTATACTTTAGACATTGACCTGGGCTTGTCTTGAGACTTGCTCCTATTTGTAGATGTTTCAGCGTTTCTTAAGCTTCTTACATTCCTGAAGCTCTGTGAGCCTCAGTAACAGAGGTAATTAAAAAGACAACGTCAATGACTTGACTTCATTACACTGCATAGTGAGAGGTCATGTTTTCATATATAGGAAGTGTGGAGACATGAGTTATAGGAGTGCAAATCCTCTCTGCTACCAGATCATCTGAGATATAAGTTTATCTGTTCAGGAAGATCCAATTTACTGTAGAGAGAGGCATGAGTGGTGCTTGAAAGATTCCTTCAGAAGGGACATGATAATTTCACATTATTTTTCTTTCCTCTCCCCACATTAGAAAGAGTAATAATAAGATAAATAGAAACCAACATGATAGTTTGTAAAAAAATAACACATCTCAATTTTGCCAAATAATAAATTTGCTATTATTGGGAATGATACACGTGAATGGCACATAAACATTGCTGTAAGATGTTGAAAGTAGAGTCCTTGTAGAAAACAATATCCTGATTTCCAGTCAAATAAATGCACAATTAGCTTCTCCCTGACACAGTCTGAAATCAGAAAAACAAAATTTAAGAAGAGACCCAGATATAATATGTCAGCTGAAAACTTACTCGTTATAAATCTGCCTCAGAAGAGAAGTGACTAGTTTAAGATAAGATGGAACTTTCCTATCTGAGAGAGGCCTTTGAAAAACTAGTTGCAAGAGCAGGAGAAATCCAACTGTCACTTCCCTTAAGGAGCCCGCCTGCAAATTGCTGTCCAAAGGAATGGGTTAAAAAGGTTCTAGATTAGCTGAGGTACTGGCAGCCAGGGCAAAACAAGCAAAACGGTCTGTTCAGTGGCTCCTGCCACAGATGACTTAAAGTCTGAGGGCAAAAGGAATTCCAAATGTTTCATGTTAATAGACCTGAAACATTGGCACGCAAATCCTACATTTATGGTATTTTTAAAAGACTTTTAATTATTAATGCTAGATTTCTGAGATGAAGGGGGGACAGAGAAAGTGCTGCTAAAAGCCTCACAATGGTCCCTTTCTGTGCAATGCCAAAAAGAAATTTAAAATCTTTCTTTGGCAGTCAAAATAAAAATTGCTTTGGGCTTTTGATGCCCTAGACTTTTTTTATATATATGCCATATGCTCCCTTAAAATTATTTTTTTTTTAAATGTTGTTTCAGTCGGAGGAAACCTGGAACAGGAGGAGAATTGCCACCAGCTGGAATTCTGTTATAGCTGTACAAGAAGCTACAAACTGTTATTTTACCTCATCAGACTTCACTGCTGACAAATTTAATCAAGTTGTGTGGGTCTGCATGACATCCCAAGGAAGGATGGCATCTTTGGCTAAGAGGATTGGGTGTGCACTTTGTTAGATAGACTTATGGCAATACTAATTTTTAATATAGCTTCCCAAAACATGGCTGGTGTTTAACAAAACTGGGAAGATTGTCCCAAAGAATTTGCAATCAGGGTTGACTCAATATAACTCTTAATGTTACAGAAACAAGCAAGAGGTAGAATGGGAAGAGGAACTAATACAGTTATTAATGATAAAAGATGTAGTTCCTGTTGAGTTCTATTTTCCTGCTAAGCTTCTGAATTCCACATTTAAAAGAGAAAGTACAGAGTGCACTATTGATTCGTTTAGCACAGCGCTTGTAGGAGAAGGAATTTTCAGGGCTGATTTGAAGCAGAAATCATCAGTGGTGAGAGAGTAGGCTCTTGTGAGATCCTCACACTCTAGAGGAAATGAGGCAGTCACAGAGTCCTGCTCATTAGCAACAGCACAAATTCATTCCTGACACAGGTTGGAGCGACTCAGCTGACTTTCATGGCACAGCATGCATAAGTAAGCCGATGAGACTCTAGTATTGCAACTACCACTAGTAACAAAGACTGATTGCAGAGTTTTAAAAAATTATAATGAATAGTAAAATTATCAGTTCTTTAGTCTCCTTATAGGTGAAACTATCCCAAAAGTATGAGAACAGCAGTGGGCATTTTATTAACTCTCTAGGCTCTATGTGGAACTATTGCAGTTTGCTGGTTTACAGTCTTATCTTTGTCCCTGATTTCCTGTTTCTCTGCTCTCTCTCACTTGTACAGACCACCAGACTGCATGCACTATCACATTTAAGGGAAGTTCTGGAGATGTGGTTTTACAGTCTGTCTCTGCTTTTTCTCAGTGTCAGCAAGCTCTTTTTCTGCTATCAAGTTTATGAATGGATTCCCTAAACTCAGCTTCCTTTTTTATTCTTGTTTTTTTGAAAATGTGATGGCACTCTAGGTCCTGGCTAACTGCTGGGTCCATCTTAAATTTAAGCTTCTCTTTAATGTACAAGAAAAACTTAAAAAAAATTTTCATTGATTTCTAATCGCGGCAACCCATTAAGTTACTTCTGTTCTTTCACAAAAGGAAACTTTTAAGTACAAAAAATAATGCTTTCAGTATTGATTGCTATTTACTAAATTTTTATTTGAAGCTATGTATTTACAGTTTATTAACTGAAATTCTATCCCTCCCCACTCCTCCCCCCCCCTCCTGCCAGTATTTTGTTTCACTGCAAATGATTTCTTCCTTATACCATTTACAAATGACCTATAATGTGCTACAAAAGCACAGGAAACTCTTATAACCTTTTACTAGGCAGAAGTAAGTATATAACTAGTTTGTACAAACACAGTTGTTTTGTACCCTGGCTTACTGCCAGTGTGTCCATTACTCCTGAGCCCCTTTTACATGTCAAAACCTAGTCCTGCAGGTATCCTAACCATGCTCATTCTCAAGTCTTCTGCCATGCTGTCTGTTCCTTTCTCCCCTGCTCTGTATTAATTCATTCCCTTTGTGTGGCAGTGAGAACAAATGAGACAAGGGAAAGGAAAGGGAGCTCTGTTGAATTCTTTCTTAGCAAGAAGCATTGTCTGGAAATAAAAGTCTTGCTAAAACTTACTCAGCCGGGAGTTGGACTTTGATGATCCTAGTGGGTCCCTTCCAATTCAGAATATTCTGTGATCTATGATTCTATAAAATGGGCAGAGGAACCTTCCTCCATGTGCCCAGGGGCAAGGACTATGTGGTTCTCAAGGAGACTGAAATAGACAGAGGATATGGAGAGTGCTGCTGTGTAAGCAGATGAGAATTGAGATCAACAAGTTGGTCATCAGCATTTGGGTTGTTTTTCCGTAGGGGAAGATAGCGTATCATTGTACTGATAAAAGTTTGAAATAGAGTGCATGCAAACTAAAGATATAACTTAAGTTTCTCAAAGAATTTTAGTTTCTACATTTCTAAACTTCTCAGTGTATGACTGTGCACCTTTAAGAATGCTTTTCTGACATAAATTTTCTGTAAAGTGCAGAAGTGCCACAACTCTGTTAGTGAAACACAACAGAATATATTCTCAGTGGGTTGTTAACCAGTACTGAGTGATCACAACTCAAAATGTCTTAAACTTTATTTCTGTAAAAAATAAGATTCTGCGTTTTAGTTAAACCAGATTTATACTCCTTTTCATAAGGGTAGTTCTGTCTTTGTCCAACTGACCTTCCTGCTGCTTGCAGCTAGATGGGGTGAGTGCAACACTAAAATTCAGCCTAAACATCAGTACTGAATTGTAAAATACAGTGAGTAGCTAATTTGAAAGTCCAAGAGTATATTTAATATATAGCTACATAGAAAATTTGTTTAGGTGAAAACATGCTATTTAATTTCTGGCAATTCAGTAAACAAGATAAAATTTAAATTTTGATTTTATTACTAGTAAATGATTTTATAACTTCACTGTAGTCTTCATATTCATTGTGGCTTATACCTATCAGGTACACTATCAGGTTATATTTCCTTGGCATTGTCTATACCTATGTAGTTGACTTGGAGGGTTATATATGGAAATTAAAGGGGAAGGGGAAAAGGGAATGATTTTATTTCATAAAACAAATTAAACAATTGAGGGATAATATAATATTTTTTTATTTTTCCTGAAATGTTTATCCTTCAGGACCACTTAATGGACGTAACCACTAGATAATCATCTGTCTTGCTGCTTTTATGCCCAATCGTTAAGAAGTTTTTAACTGCCCTTTTTTTTTTTTAAACCACGGACGGCGGAGCCTTCATTTATCTCCTCTGTCACTTAGCTCATAAAAACATGGCAACAAAAGCATGGCAAGACTTTGAGAACAAAATGTTTTCTAATTACAAAACTTCGGCAGCTAAGGGAAAGAAGAAATTGGATGCTTAGGAAAATGTTAAATAGAACCAGCTGAGTTTTTTAACTTTGCAAGATTGAACAGTTGCATAGACTTTCTGTCTAGAAGATACAGAGCCATAGATTTTATATCACTTATGCCTTGATAGTCATGTACAATCCACAATACTTACTTACTGTAGGTTTTTTTCCAGCAATTCCTTTGTCAATCCCAGCAGCTTTGCTGGTGAAATAGCTACACATGGGAAGCTGAGGAATGGAAAGAACACTTGACTAGCTCAAGATCCTACAGGAATATGTAGTAGAAATGGCAGCTGAATTCATAACTCCTGAGTCACAGGTCAATTTTATATGAAACAACCAATTTTCTCTAGTTAGCACAATAAAGCACTGCCTTTTGTCAGTGAACATTTTAGCTGCATAAAGAAGGTTGTCAAATCATGGTAATCATCTATATTAGTTCATTTGGGTCCAGTTCCAGAGCTGAAAAGTGCCACAGAATGAATTAATTAGTTTTGTTTATCCTGAGCTGATCTGGAAGACTCCTATGGTACCACCTCTGTGGAAGGTGCCTGCAGTCGTTACTGCATGTTTTTGTTTTTCCTGCAGATAAACAAGCACTAAACCATTAACAGCTTTTTGCTTTCTTATGGAGTATCTTACATTTTCAAAGTATGCTGTGAATGTTTAGCACTCCAGTTATGTCACTGAAAGGTGAAAGAGTATTATAGCATATTGTTTTACTTTGGGGGAGAATGAGATATGCAAAGGTTAAGTAATCTGATTGTAGGAAAAGTGGGTAGTGATTTACACATGCATCTGGGTGCAAGAGACCTGAATCTCAGCCAGAGATCTGTCTGTCTCATTATGTGATATTAATAAGTAATCACTTGCCCTGTGTTTTTTTATTCCTATGAGCAAAAGACTTACAGCCTTTTGTGTGATGGTGCACAATGCTTTGTCCTGTGATCAATCTAATATACCGTATTTGTAAATACCTTGCAAAGGAGGTTATGTTCAAACCAAAGCTACACTGCTTTCTCAGTCAAGGTAAGAGGGTTGCTATACTGCACTACACATACTGTTTTGTCAAAGGCACTATATGTACAGAGGAAATGAACCATTTATAGGCCTCCGAATTTCTGAATGTGTGTCTTGGCTCTGGTGGAGTTTAGAGCAGTAGTTAAATGTCAGTCTGGGTTTGCTAGAGTGCAGAATGTCCTGACTCTGTATTCTCTTCTTGTTCTGATGAATCTGCAGAATAGACAATGATAAAGGGCTCCCTCCAGGAGAAAATTGCTGATAGAAGAGCTAGCTCATACTTTCTTCACAATAAGAAGAAAGTTCACCGATGACTGCACTGACCTGCTCTCCAGTCTTGTGCTTCCTACAAGAGCCAAAGGCCCCTGTTTCCAAGGGAATTGGATCCATGATGCATATTGTGTTTAAATACAAGATGTATTTTTGTTGCTGTTTTCAGATATTTGGGTGGGACGTTTGGCTTCTCTAGCAAAGCATGACTCTTTCTCCTCTACGTGCTGACGAAACAGGAAACTAGTTTCACTGAAAACTGGTAAAGGCAGCTTTCCTGTCTCAAAAATAGGCTAAGATTGGCTTAAGCTCTCATATACATAGCGTTGGAGAGAGTGCCAAGCAGAGCTCGGTGACCGCCCTCTGCACACCATGTTACACAAACCATTGCATCTTGGTCATGAACAAGGTGTAATAAACACTACTCCCTTTTTGGCATTAAAGATGTTTTCTCACCTCTCTTGGATCTGACCAGTGAAAGATTAAACAAGCCTGCAATCAACAAGAAGAACCGAAGATTTAACAACTGTTCTTTGAAACTAGCCTGAATCTGGTACCTCCTGTATCCTATTTGCCTGTCAGTAGGCTGGGTGAGTGACTTCCTGCATTTCAAGAAGAGTGCTTGCAGAGAGGCATGATTGCTCATGCCAGTAGCTCTTTCTGGTGAAAAATGGAAAGCAATGATTGTCTTCAAAAGTCCATGAAGGTTCAGTTAAGGTAAAATATGAGACATATGATCAAAGGACTAAAAAGTACACAAATCCCGAGTGAAGGCCTGATTCCATGACAAATACTCTGTTCAGCCTTTACCAAGAGACATAAGGGCACCAGAGAAACCATTCTGGATGATTGAGGATACCCATCCCATAGTTCACTTTAGGAGGATTAAGAGCACATCTGCTTCCTTTTGTCACTGCACATATTTCCCAGGCTGTTGATAGATTAGGTTAGCATCAGTAAGATGCAGACTGCCTGACATGTATCTTTTTATCATCTTGAAGGTTTTTTTTTCTTTAAGAGTCAGAAGAACACTCAAATTAAAAAAGTTTAACAAAGTATTTTTTCCTCAGAAGTTATATTTATTTTTTTGAGGAAAATTCAAAAAAGGCTTGTTATGATTTAGCTTCAAACAGTTTTTTCAAACTATTTCATGGTATTGACAGTGAACTAGAAAATTGATCATTGCTGAATTTCAGTAATTTTTATTTCCTAATTTGTAGTCCAAGGACCTATACCCTTATCTGGTAGAGAATCCCATTAGAGCTTTTAGTTTAAAAAAAGCTCTGAAGTACCTTTATGCCTGAATGAGGAATAAGGGGTTTCAGACAGAACCAGGAGTCAGGAAATCTTGGGCTTTCTCTGGTTTTAATTCTGTATATTTTTCATTAAGTCCCATGTGCTTCCATGTTAGAAAAAAAAAGAGGGTATTTTCTATTCTTCTTATAACCATTTGTTTTAGGACAGCTACAGGCAGGGCTGCTCTAAACTAAACTGCTTCCTAATTATCCTTAAGAGACATTTTCACTTGGGTGATGAAGATAATGGATGAAAGAGGGAGATAAAAGAGTAACTGAAGTTCACTGTACTTTGACCCCCTACCCTGTCTCCCAGCCCCCTCTCTTCCCAGGCCTGACAAAAAGGAGACAGAATCTGGCTCTTAACCTTTTTGTAGCTTGAAGGAAATCAAATGCTGAATCTCATTGTCCTTTTCTTTTTTTTTTTCCATTTGTAGGAAATAAAGTAGCAGGTCTATCACTGTGAATATTTTGTTTAGCAATTTAATCAACAACAGGATATCCACTGATCAGGCAGATATTCCAAAGGCTTTTCAGAAAGCAACACTTGGTTTTTATGCACCATTATACGAAGACCTATAAACGTTGCAATATATGTTTATGTAATGTACTGGGATTGCCCTTCTCAGAACCTTTTTGTTTTCCTTTACCTCTTATTTTTCAGCCTGGATGTGACTGCTAGCCTAGAAAACAAAAAGAATACATGTTTAGCATTCTTTAGCAGTGTTCAGTGTTTAGTTTTCTTGTCTTTTTAGGAAGAAAACACATTTCACAGAGACTATCCACTGAATTGATAGTGCATTGCCATGGTGATCACTATGGAAAACTATAGTTATGAACTATCATGTTCCACAAAACATTAAGAAAATGCAAAATTTCTTACTCTGGTGACAGCTTACCTGTCAACCTGAGATTCTGTTTAGCAAACTTTCCATCGTAATGAGAATCATTGAAGTAATTTCCTTTACATATTTTTATCATCAAACTTAAGAGCTCAGTTTTGGTTTTACAGGACTGTTCTGCTTTTAGAGGGAATGTGGGGCTTAAGATAATGTGGGGAAGAGACAGTGCGTGAAGCTGCAGCTGGGGACCTGCTGCCTACCTGCAGGACTCGGAGGGTGGGATCTCCCTCAACAGCAACTGCTCCTGGCTGTGGATCCTGCTCCAACATCCCTCCCTCCCCACCCAGGACCCCATCTGCCAAACTTAATTTGTCAGCAGTCTAAACATATGTATCTAATGTTGGATCCCTGATCTGGAGGGAAGCTGAGGAGCTGCTGTGTGGTCGCCTGAGACTGAAACACCACACTGAAGAGAGCAAGATGGAGCCAGATGAATGTCTTGTGTGTGAAGTATGAGGCTTGACAAGTCTGGCACTGCTCACTTTGATACTGCTTTTGACTGAATTAGCTTTTGATCTGAGTTACACAATGATAAATCTATGTCACTCTACTGAAGTTTACTTAACAAAATTAGGTATCTGAGTTTATTTTAAGAGAGTTCCTCTGCGTTTTACCAGACGCAATTAGGATCAAAATTCTGTCTGAGTTATACTGTTGTCTTTAATTCTGAACACTTGAAATATAAACAACACATTCAGCAAATTTATGGAATGATGAAAGGACAAATTCTCTTCTTACTCGTATCTATGGAAAATGAATGTTTAGGATTTGACACTGGTTCTGTCAAGGCAGAGTGTGGCCCTGGATGTGTATTTTAAACAAGACTCAAACTGTGGTTGAGCGAGGCTCACCTCAAATGGAAGCTTAACCAAATCTTTTCCTCTTGTAGTAACTACTTTCCTCCTCCTATTGCTGTCCCTTTTTTTCCATATTAATGATTAATTGCTTATGTTCCTGCTTTCTTACTAAAATGCTGAATCTTTCACCTACTGTTTCCTTCTGGTTTATTCCTTTATAGTTGTTCCAGCTGAGCACCATCTATATGCAAAACATCTAACTGTTTATATGAAACATGTGGTTCGTGTTTTGCTTTGCTCCAGACATGACGTGTATGGGCATAGGAAGGAAGATGAAGCATTTAACAGTGTTAACAGAAATCTGGGTATTTTAGAAGAAAACCGCTTGCTTAAGCAAACTAAAAAAAAAAATATAATCTTTCCAATTAAAATATTCTTAAATCAAGAAAAAAAAAGGAGATTCTGGATTAGTATTCCAAAAGGAAATATCTTCAGCATTGCAAATTGTTGCTTTACAGTCTGAAACTACAGTAAGGTTTCCAAAGTCTGGTTTAAATAAGTGGGATTCTTAAGGAATGCAAAATTTAAGCTTAAATATGGATTCCTTTCTTTTCTCTTTTCTTTTTCTTTTTTTTTTCTCCCTTTCCATTTTTCTTTTTTCTCCTCCTTGTCCTTTTCCTTTTTTTCCCTTTCTCTCTTTTCTACTTCTACATTTTTTTTTTACTTTTTATACTTTTTGCCTCTTCTTTTTTCATTTTCCTTTTCCCTCCTCAAAGACAACTTTCCAGATATTATTTTTTAAAATCAGTCTTCAAGACACGAAACATTTATCTCATTTTGCATATATTCAGGAGGCAGTAGTACTTTAAATTTAATTTAACAAGGAAGTAATCTATGGAAACTCTAGCCCTTTTTTACAAGCTGACTCTGGGAAACCTTTTACTGTAATCTATATAGAATGATGAGGAATACTGGAGTATCAGGGCACTATTCTCAGCTTGACATTACTATAGTTTACAGTGAGGATTTAGATACTCGAGGGCTAGATATTCAAGATCTTACGTGGACGTTGTGCACTTACACGTTATTGTGTTTCTGAGCTCCCATACAGGTTAAAATTAACCCAACCTGCCTTCAGGAACATCATTTAAAGGGAAAGAAGAACTATGTATAAGAGTTTAATGCTTGCACAAAGAGGGAGTAAACTGTTTTTTGAGGAGAATGAAGTGGGGACTGAAGGTTGACATGTACTACCATCACTCACAGGTAGGACACAGTTCATGGATTAGAGTGGTACCTCCATTATCTTTATTTGCAGGTCTCTCAGTGGTAGGACTCTGTGTCCCACTACCTGAATGATCTCAGCTGTCTCTAGGAGTGTTTCTGTCTCAGGAAGCTTTTGTGTTGCAGAGCATGTTGTTTAGGACATAGGTTTGGATTCTACCTATTATTGCAGCAATTGCCATTCTTTCCAGAAATACATAGTTTTTATGGTTTCCATGGTGCAGAGAACTGTCACTTGTTAACCAGAGGCAAGGGATGCAAATTCAATCTACTGTGCATATCGCTTGCAATATCAGGGTTACTTTGCATCTCTCTCAGTATGTTGAGGGAATGGAGAGCAGAAGTTAGACAACACCTGAAATAGATTTGTTGGTTTAGTTCTCTGTAAAATGAACAGATAGGGTCTTTTATGTTTCGGAGTCTCTGTGCTGCTCTCTGACAAAATGTGCCCGTTCCCCTTTTTGCCTTACTAAGTCCTTTTGGACAGGAACTTTCTTCTGTGTTTGTACTGTATCTAGCACAGGGGGTCCTGACCCTTAGCTGAGGCTGTGATGAGTAGTGTGAAAATGCAAACAAGAATATAAAAATGTACCACATAAAACCAAACCCAGCTAGCACAGACTCCTTTCTGGTGGTGGATAATTTTGACTCTTAGGGTACATACATAAGATACAGGGCAAGAGTAACAAAATGTTTATACTTCTTTACCTTCCCAGTTCTGGCACTCAGCAGCTGTATACAGATGTGTGTAGCCAGAGCATGTGCAATAGACACTAATCGACCTGTCCTCTGCATCCATTTGCTTCTCTAAAACAAAGTATAAAGTAAAACTAGGCAAATACCACAGATTATATAAATATTAGTGTGTGTGTGTGAAAGTTAATACTACAGAGATTGGAATAATGTGGGCTAGCTGCGGATGCTTTTAGAGATTTTAGGGAGTGGTACAGCACAACACAGAACCAATTAGCTCACTCCTTCCAAATGCATTTTTATTTCATGAGCAGGTTGAGGAACCACACCTAAATTCTATCATTAAAAAAATTTAAATGGTTTTATTCTTTTCAGTTTTAATGGCTTTGAGCACAGCAGCAATCTATAGGTATTATTTCAAAGATAATCATATTGAAAAGACCTATATTACCTTTCTGTTTCTTTAGCAAGCCCAGCATATCTGTCAGATCTCATTTGTCCTGTGCATAAGAAATGCAGTTTTAGTCCAGATGGACAACAGAATTAACAACTTTGAGTCACATGCCTCATTGGTCACTTATTTTGTATTCCCAGAAGTGTACCTGAGCCTGTGTAATTCTAAGACTAATTGTAAGAAACGCATCAAAGCAATTTGCTACTAATAATGCTAGTAGGGTTTCATATAGATGTGGAAAGTCATCTTCTGATTTGTTGCTGCACCAAGACCTTATACACACCTCAGAAAATAGTATGGCTTGTAACTATCTCATTCTTTTCTTTCACAGCTTTTCTATCACAAAAATTTATCAGTTTCCTCACACGGAGCTACACGAGTGCTACATGTGATAGTTTAAGGCCAAATAGTTTCTGCTTAACCTATTCCAAAGGTATCTTACCAGATCTTGGGCCCAATAAATATTGTTAGATTATTTTAGGTCTTGCATAACTGAAGGAAGAGCTGGATATTCTTCAAACATGAAGAGTATAAAAGATAGGAAACATCACTGGGGATAGAAACAATGACAAAATATTTCAGACCAAAGGTAATAGCTGAGGAAAGTGAAGAAAACAGGGGCTTGAAAGGAAAACACTATCTTTTCCATAGAGTGACTCAAGGAAAGCTATAGCATTCTTCAGTGCTCTCCACCCGAGTATTGGCAGCCTAAAATAAAGTTCGAATTTCACCTGTATCCCTAGGTGATAAGAAAATAATTCCAGGAATTACATTTAGTCCTGAAGTCCTTCCTCAAGGACTGTAAAGCAAAATTCCCTTTGACTTGAAGTAGCCATTTGCTTGGAAAAGTTTCTCAGGGTACAGCTCATGAGGAAGGTCTGTATATAGGGTAAGAATAAAAGGGAGATGTGAGTGAAGATTCCTTTTAAATCACGTGGAAGATTAGCATCTTCCACATTGAGAAGAATAAAAGAAATCCATATAGTCAAGAACATTACACATTCTGTTTTTCAAGCAGAAATTCATTCTCAACATTGGGTGCAGAAAGTTATGTTTTCAAATTTTAAATCATGGTACTTGTACATCAACTGGCTGGAAACAAATGTTTATTTTCTGTCTGAAAAATGCACATTTTCCAGCTTAATTGCCTAACAGCTCTTTATTTATGTTGGATGTAAATTCATAAATGCCTTTTCAGAAATAAACTTGCCTGCAGATGGCTGCTATATGTTTCTGGAAATCTTTTTAAAAAAATGTCTATTTAAAATAGCTTCAGTGAAAATATTGTAAATAAACAAAGGTTTCAGTTAATTCTTGTGAATATTCTGGAAAGAATGCCATGTCAGGCCAATAATAGGTTATGTTCTCACTGAAATTATTTCACTGCAAATACTGGTTATAACGTTCAATTTTACTTATGAATGTGCAATGGCATATATGCTTCTTCATACACCCTCTACTTCACTATTTCTGGTAACATAAATAGCTTGCAAGCTGGTAGTTTTTCAAAGCATTTGTTGAAAAAATCTTTGAACTTTGGTTGATTTCACTTGGAAGTGTTACTTTACATCATGCATTAAGCAATTCTCTCCATTACTTCTGAATCTTCAAACACAGCTATCCCCACTTTTGTAGCTGTAAAATCAGATGGCTAATGCACTACACTGGAGCAAAAAGAGATCTTATTAATTGGTTTTGATTTTCTCAGGGCTAGAGGAAGAACCTAAATCTCTGCAGCCAAATTAATATTCAACCATAGTGCACAGTCCCACAGTTCACAGATGCATCTTAATTTTCAGAGCAGATGGATCAGGTCACTTCAGATCCAAAAGCACAAGCATGTTGTATTTGAATTACAAATTACTTCTTAGAGTGTTGATCACATGTCCTTTATGCAACCTTTCCAAGGTCCTTCTCAACCCTTTAAATTCACACCTCATTTCTTACATAATTTCTACTAAGAAGTCTCTGCCCATCATCATAGCATGTGGGTCCTTGGAGGGGAGATGGCTACATTTGCTGTTTGCAGTTTCTCACGGGTTGAACATACCAGGGGGTTTGAGAAGTACTGTCTTAGACACTGTGGTCAATCATTAAAACCAGATGAGAGAGAAAAGGTTATTGCAATTCACAACCTTCTCTTAGACCACTGCAGGAGAGCTGCCTGTGCTGCTGGAAAAGCAAAGAATTCATGATACAAAACGTCTGTTAGGCCCACGTAAGGAAGAGAGAGTAGTGATGGAGGGCCAGCTTTACTACCCATTCCTCAAGTCCCAGCTTTGAGGTGCTTAATACACTGATAGATGTGGTTATGTGAGCAGAATATAGCCTACTCTGTGACACCACCCCATCCATATGAAGTTCATTGTTAATATATAGCTAAAACAGGAAACTTCTACAATCAGATAAAGAAAGCTCTACAGTATGTGATTATGGCTTGGTCAGATGTGAGTGTCTGTATGAAAAATAATACCTCAGGTTGAATAACAAAGAACAGCTTGTATTTGAACTTGGCTGTGGTGAATTAAAATGAATTCCCCGAGTCCCTTTGCTCATGGTAGCTTTCAATTTTGTAGCATTTTTCAACCCTTTTGCTCCTTCAGGGTAACGAGTGATTAATTTTATTGACTTAATCTCAACCTGATATTTTTACTGTAAATCCTTCCAATGTTCAGAGTATAATTATAGTTTAATGATTTAAACTTGTGGATTCTATTCCCCAGAAAGAAAGGACTATATTTCACTTTATGTTTTTAAAGCTGTTTTTCAGTGTCTCTTACAAAATGAGCAAATAAGACATAGGAAAGTTGGGAAAGTTTTTTTGTTAGTGACATATTAATCACTACAGGTCTCCATCATTGATTTTTTCTTGTGCCCTCAATTTATAAATTTATTATGAAATCTGCAAGCAATTTAGTGTTATCCTTGAGGAGAGCAGGTAGCAAAAGAATCAATACTTCTATTAAAGTTTAGCTGAAGTTTAATACAGAAAGCAAAGTTGTGATTCTTTATCTTCAGTATAGATCTATATTGTGTATTCTATGCACCAAACCAGTATTGATGTTAACAAAATTTCACTGTGTGTAATGAGGGGAGAATATTCACTGGCAATTTCCAGCACAGATGAAGGATCCATGGCATTGACTTTGCCTAAATGTAGAGCTCTGAAAGACAAAAATATCTAAACTACCAGGCACAGTTAACATTAAATCTATCTTGTTACAATGTAACAAGTACAATACTGTTCGGATAGCATAAGAAAGAAGTATTGCAAATTTAGTGAAGGTCAAATTTTCGGAGACTTAGTGTGATCTGCGTTCATATATGCCTAAGTCACTTGCATGTGCTCTTCTGTCCATTACCTTTTGTGTTAACAAATAACAAATTTATACCCAGAACTCCTGTGCACCAGTTGTGTCTGCCTTTTTTTTTTTTTGATAGCCTGATTAGTGTTAAGGTTCTCAACTGTTAACAGGAAAAAGGGCGCATGCAAAAGATTTTGCTTCACATAACTAGACACTGAGCTGAGGCATATTTTGAACATCTGGCCTATAGAGGGGTTACATTCCATAAACAGAATAATAATTGTTTGGCATAATAACAACTAAGGCTAATCAACATGACTAAAATAAATATTCTTTTAGTAACTAAAGTTTTTTCACCTTCTCCTTGTCTTTGCTTTCACTATACCTCAGATATCCAAAATGAAATATGAAGCTGAAAAAACATGGTGTGAAGCTGAAACTTTTTTCTCCTTTTTACCAGCATAATTACTTTTAGAGCATCATGCTACTCTCTCAGCAAGTTACTTCAAAGGAGTCTAGGAGGATGAGTATCCAAACTGCTCTTAAGTTTTCACTTATGTTCCGGTTACTAATATTCAAATTGAGTAGCATTGCTACTTGAATAATTCAAAATTGCAGTGGAAGTTTGTTTCCTTTTGTAGAATACTATTTCTGCTCCTGAATTTACATTTTGGGGTACATGTGGCTGGGCACATGCTCTGCAGCCAAACAGTCAGTAGAAACTTTGATAAGAAGCTAAAAGCAGCCTAATCTGCACCTTCTCTGAAGACAGAAAAATTTCCCATTCTTCATTGCAGCATGGTTGGATACTAGACAAATATTTGGCTCATTTTCCTTTCTAGAGGAATCCTTCCCCTGTCATTTTTCAGGGGTCAAGGAAATGCAAAAGGTTTTGTTGATATAATTTGTGTAATGCAGACAGTTAATATTGCCAGATGTCTTCTTCTGATGGCATTCCTTAGGCAGGAGCCCTGAATGAAAGGAGTACCACTGGCAAAGGGGGTTTTGATTGTGGAGCTGCTCCTGCATTGGGACTTTCTGTTGATACAAAAGTAGGGCATAGTCCCACTCCTAAGTGAACACTGTTTCTGATGTACAAACATACTTAAAAAAATGATGTACTTTTTGTAAGCCTCAAAGCATTCACAAGTTTTCTATTTGGAATTGACTTTCATTTCTTTCTGAGGCCTGATGCCAGCTCTTCCTAGTTTGTTATGAACATTCACTTTGTAAATAGATTTAATGTAACTGTTTCTACTTAATTCACCATCCTGTTCTTAAATCACTGTAGCAACAGTTTTAATCCTACCTTTTCAAAAGAGTGATATTCACAATGAAAAAGAAAGCCGGGAGCA